ACTTTTCTTTCATAATCAAATAAGTAGTAATATCATATCCAAGGAAGTCATGATCACCACCATGGACGGAGCCAGAAATTAAAGTTAGAGGGGGGGAAGGGGAAAGGTTAAAATTTTTTTTGAGTTATGTATTAGTTCACATTAACATAATTTAAATTAATTTTTATATTGATCACTTATTGTATGAATATTTCACTTATTTATACATGTAAAATTTTGAATTAATTACATATATTTAGTTTAGCAAGAAAATTAGATATATTTAGTTATTTTTTAATGATATATACTTTAAAATCCCTAAAAACAAGTATAAGAATATAGTTTATTTTTTTAAATAGCTACTTATATCAAAACAACTTTAAATTCAAAATGTATGATTTATATAAATAGAATAAATTTAACATTGTTTTCATGGTATATAAATTGCACAAAAAAGTTATATATAACTAATGTAAAAACTTATATAAGTTATATTAATATAATTAATTAGATTTTAACTATTTTTTAATATTTTTTCTTACGTAGACCAAATTATCATATCTTAAAAATTAATCATAAGGAGAGAAACAATTCCTTTACCTAAATCCTAATTTTTTTTATATATATTTGAAATGGTCCCAATAGTTTAAAACCTCTAAAAACAAAATTTTGTAGAAAACAAAAATTAATGTACCATATTTGAAAATTTTCAAAACCTTAGGGGGGGCTGCCCCCCCTTGTCCTACGTTGGCTCCGTCCCTGATCACCACTAACTGATACTTTACCTAATTTAATTAAAAGGAAAAGGAAAATCAGAATACCAAATTATTAAAAATATCAAGATGTTAACAACAGTCATACAAGGAACATAGTGTGAGTCTCCTTCATCACTTGATTAAAATTAGATGTATTGATAAGAACATAGAGTGTTTTTTCTTTTTTTTATTCAATTAAATTTTTTAGGTTTTTTCCCACACCCTTGAGTTAATTTCACATATTTTTAGTTTAATTAATTATTATATCTTTACACCATATTTTTTTTAAACTCTATATATTTTTATTTTTTAAATGAATTAAAAGTATAATATATAGTCAAATAAAATAAAATAATATGACATTAATAATTAAAAGTGTAATAATAATATCATTTGATAAAGAATTTTTTTTTTATCTAGTTGGTTCCCACTTCTTTTTTGC